TGGCTGAGCGAGGCGCGGGAGCAGCGCCGAGGGTTGCAATCCCGTTGCCGGTCCCCGGTCTGGTACGGGGGCAACACTGAGGGTTGCGATCCGTTACCGGACACGGAAAAAGACAAAAGACAAAAAAAAAAAAAAGAAATTGAATAAAAATGAAAACTCTGACAGTAATCTTTTTTTTTTTTTTGTCAGAGTGATTCCAAATCTTAATGTTATGTATTCAGTTTTAGGCTACTGGTTTGACATCTAAAAATTGGGTAGTTAGCTCTTTACAGGGAAGAAAATGTGCTTAATTTTGGAGAGGAGCATTGTCCTGCATTGTGGTGATTGTGGATAAGTTGCTCACAGTTGCTATTGCGGGTTACTTACTATCTGTTCTTGTATGTCCTGTAAAATAATCTCATATTGGTTGGATTGTTTTTAACCAGTGTTGACTAGAATTGTAATTTCAGTTAGATCTAAATGATCTTGTCTAATTAAGTTTGTACAGTTTTCAAAAAAGCAATACAAGAGGTTTATCAAGGGGTAATGCCTGTGAAAGATAAAGGGCAGGAGTGGAACTGGGCAGGGAAAGCCTTTAGACTACAATATAGATTTGCTGTTCCTTCACTTTTGATGTTTCATATTTCCTTCTGGTATCATTTTCTTCTGTCTAAAGAACTTACTTTAGCAATTCTTTTAAAGCAAGTCTGCTGGCAACAAATTCAGTTTTCCTTCATCTGAGAATGTCTTTATATCATCACTCCTGAAGGATATTTTCCCTGGATATGGAATTCTGGGATGACAGTTCTTTTCTTTCTGTACTTGAAAAATGTTGTGCCACTTCTTTCTGGCTTCTGTAGTTTCTATTCAGAAATCTGCAATCATTGGAATCATAGTTCCCCTGTAAGTAACACATTATTTTTCTCTAGCTCCTTGCAAAATTTTTTGTCTTTAGTTTTCAGTAGTTTGATTGTGAGGTGTCTGGGTAGGATTCCTTTGAGTCTATCCTTTTTGCAGTTTGCTGAGCTTCTTGCATCTGTAGGTTTATGTCTTTTACCACACTTGGGAAACATTCTTCAAATTTTTTTTCTTATACTCTCTCTTCTCGTTTGGTACTCTGATGATACAAATATTAGATCTTATTTTCCCACAGGTCCCTAAGGCTCTGTTCTTCTTTTTTCCTTTTATTTCCCCCCAATCTTTTTTTGTTGGCCAGATTGGATACTTCCTGTTGATCTTCACTGACTTTTTGCACTGCTGCTTCCATTCTGCTATTGAGTCCCTCCAGTGAGTTTTTAATTTTAGTAACTGTATCTTCTGTTTCTTTCCTAAGTGTGCCTGTCTCTTGTCTCCAGAGTATTTGCTCTTATTCTTGGAGCATTTTTGTAATGACTTCTCTAAAGTCTTTAATGATCTTTGTCATCTTAGCATTGGTGTCTGTCGGTCATCTTTTCCAATGAGAATTGACATTTTCTTGGTTCTTTATATGCCAAATAATTTTGCATTGTATCCTGGATATTTTGAATGTTATGTTATGGTCCTCTGGGCCTTGTTTAAATTCTGTGGAGTATGTTGATATTTTTGCTTTAACAGGCGGTCAACCATTGGGTTCAGGCCACAAGTTCTGACCAGTCTTCTCTCAGTTGTAGTTTTAATGTCAGTTTTGTTTCCAAACCCATTACAGCTATTCACATTTGTCTGTCTGTGTACCACCCAGTAGCCAATCTGGGTCCTGAGAACTAGGTCTATTTGCTAGTTCAGTTTTCAAAGTCAGTGTATGCTGTTTAGAGTCAAACCCATGCACGCACAGCTCAAAGGCAAGCCCAAGAGTATATAAATCGCTCTTTTAACCACCTGGCCATCCGCCACAACCCTGACCTCAGTACTGCAGTTGTTGGGATGTGCCATGGATTATTTAGCTAATCCTATGTCGATGGGCATATTTGTTTTCTCCCTTTTTCCCCCTCCCTATTACAGACAATGCTGCATTGAGTAAGCTCTGAAAATATTGCTACAATGTAATGCCTAGAAGTCAATTTATTCACTTGATTTTAGTTTATTCACAGAAATTATTATTAAATCTATATATATTTCCAAAATGCTCTTTTGAAGTGTACTTATTTACTCTTCCAGCAATAATCTGTGAGAGTGACAAGTTATAGAAAGGAGCAGTGGGAAAATTCCTTCCTGTGATATACTATTGATATTTTGGAATTAGGTATTTATTGGGAATATATCAGAGTGAAATGAATACCATTCTCTGTGTTAGGTAGGGTGAGAATAATCTATTCATAATTCCTTTTTTTTCCTTTTTCTTCCAGAATTTTGATTCTGACATTAGCAGTGTGGGAATAGATGGCTGCTGGCAGGCAGATAGCCAAAGGCTTCTCAATGAGGTGATGGTGGAGCACTTCTTCCGACAAGGAATGCTGGATGTAGCCGAGGAGCTCTGCCAGGTAACTGTGTGCCAGTTGGGAGGATATGAAAAAGGAACAAGGGAACTCCTCCTTAGAGTCTGCATTATTTGCAGAGTAGGGTTTTGAATCTTTTGCTAGCTATAGATAAAATTTTAAAATATTTCTGTTATCAGGGATGACCTCATTTTACTAGGAAATTTTTTTTTTTTTGGTAAAGGGTGAAATTATTGTCCTAGAACTTGTTATCTGAATTGTTCTTTGCTTGTTCCTGCCCCAGAAGGTTGGCTCAGGTCATGAATCAAGGGGATCTGAAGGGATAGTACTTTATCCATTTCCTCTTTTGATAGGGAAAATTAGTATAGCAGAGAAGAATAAAGGGACAAAAACATTAATGTTTGTTCTTCTCATCTAGCTCAGTTTAAAAAATTTTGTTTATTAAATGAATTTCAAACTAAAATATACTTCAGGTGAGCAGTGTTTGTATTTTATTTCTATTAGACATGAGTTTAGGGATCTCAGAACAGTTTGCTAATACTACATAGTCATAATAGTAGCAGCTGCCACATATTGAATGTTTACCTCAAGCCAATCCCTGCCTTTATTTCTCACTGCAACCCCCTGAAGTAGAAGTTACTGTTTCCATTCTACAGATGAGAAATCTGAGGACTGCAGAAGTAGATAACATGTCCAAGGCCATGCAGGTTCTTTGTGAAGAAACTGGGAATCAGTCCCCAATTCATGTGTCTCCAAATTCTGTTCTAAGCCACCATTTGCTATTGTGTTTTCAGTTTTGAAAAATGAGAGACTGAAAGGATTAAATAATTTAAAGCCACTCTATAAACCGAACCTCTAATCTAAGGCTTTTCTGTTTTAAACAATTCAGATAAATGATAACTTAGGTCTTTTCTTACCTTACAGGGAGGGAGAGAGAGATCTGTTTTAAACAATTCAGATAAATGATAACTTAGGTCTTTTCTTACCTTACAGGGAGGGAGAGAGAGAGAGAGAGAGAGAGAGAGAGAGAGAGAGTGTGTGTGTGTATGTGTGCGTGTGCGTGTCCCTATAAATTTCCTGCAGTAAATTGTGTCATTAAGGGTTACATTTGTTTTCCAGTAACAAAAACCCAGAATAACAACGGCTTAAACAAAAATGAATTTTATTTTTCATGCACAGAAGTAGGAGGTAGTAAGACTCTCACAGCATATATGGTAGTTCTGCTCCATGAAGCTCTTAGGGACCTGTGCTCCTTGTGGCCCTGTTATTTCTTTTTTTTTTTTTTTCCTTTTTGTCTTTTTTCGTGTCCGGCAACGGATCGCAACCCTCAGTGTTGCGCCCGTACCAGACCAGGACCGGCAACGGGATCACAACCCTCGGTGCTGCGGCCGCACCTCGCTCAGCCAGTGAGCGGGAACCGGTCTGTATGTGGGATCTGAACCCTCGGCGGGAGCGCCGCCGCACTTCCCAAGCAGCGCACTGTAGCAGTGCGCCACCGGGCCGGCCCGGCCCTGTTATTTCTAAGTGTCCCCTGTCCTCATGCTTCCAGGATAGCAGCCAAAGCTGCAGCCATACATTGTATCCTAGGAAGGGGCAAAGAGTGCTTGCTCATATTTCATTGTCCAGAACTTACATCTTGCAGAGCAGTACCCAGCTTTATTCAGTATTGTCATGTTCCCAGGTGAAATTTGTGGGTTCTACTACAATGGATAAGGGGGAAGAATGGTACTAGCGGGCAGTCATTAGTGTCTGCCATAAAATGAGTGTTAAAAGGAAATGATCTTTAATGGTTTACCCCATGTTTTATAATTTAGAATATGCTTTTACCACTGTGTCTTTACCATGATTATTGCTAACAAAAATTCTTTCTGTTTTTTTAGGAATCTGGTCTTTCAGTAGACCCAAGTCAGAAAGAACCATTTGTGGAGTTAAATCGAATATTAGAAGCATTAAAAGTCAGAGTTCTGAGACCGGCTCTGGAGTGAGTTACTGAGTTCGTTTTCTTTTGAATGCTTTGAGAGAACTCTCTGTAAAACTTAATTAGAAAACACATTAGCGATTCTTAGATATCTATTTATCTGACCTGGGGTAGACTTCAGAGAAATCGAGAGAGAATTATTTTGTTTCTTTTAGCCAGTGAATATGGGGGATGTGCAATATGAGAAAATGCTTAGAGTTTATTTCACTTATCAGTTGGTCTAAACTCCCATGAGAGCAAAGGGTTTGCTGTATCCAGGCTATACCACCACTCTGTGTGGACTAGCCTTATAACTGAAGCACTATTGTTCAAGCAGTCCTAGTTTGATATTTGAGCTTCCATAATGTGCTGGGTTCTGTGCCAGCATTCTAAAAAGTTATTTCATTGGGTGTTGGAACTAAGTGGTATGCATGAAGAGAGCAAATATTGTTATAAAGGGGATCTGTTCTTAATTCCTTGGATTTTGAAGATTCACTGTGAATTTGTCATTGAAATGAATTATCTGAAATGACTGAGTAAGCTGTAATAAATATTGTCCTAGAGCAGTGCTGGCAAACTTTTTCATAAAGGGCCAAGTAATAAGTAGTTTAGGCTTTTCAGGCCACATAGGATCTCTGTCACATATTCTTTTTTGTTTTATTTTACAACCCTTAAATATAAAACACCATTCTTGGCCATCTGCTGTACAAAACAGACAGCAAACTGTATTTGGCCTGTGCCATAGTTTGCTCACCACTATCCTAAAATTTTTTAATGTGAGGATTACCAGGTTATTTGTAATAAATAACTTATAAAGTAAAGGGGAGAAAAACTTGATGATAGAAGCCATGATATTGCTGTGGGGTTATAGCCTCAGTATCCTGGTATTTTAAAACTGGAAAGATTTGAGATCAGTATTACCAGGAAAAAAAAATAGGAAGATCTGTGCTGACTTTTATAAAATGCACATTTTTTTCTTACACTAACCTATTTAATTCTTCATAGTTTAGTTTCTGTTTATGATCATTTCTCAGTTCTTAGAAAATTTTGCGTAGTTGTAAAACCAGCCCAGATGAACAGGTAGAGAGAGATTGCTGTGTAAATTTATAAATTATAAAATTTCTGTATAAATTAAAAATATGAGGTAGGTACTCTATATTTAAAGAAAGATCTCATTTAAATTGGACCACTTCGTAAGATTCATTACAGGTATTACCTTTGTGTATTTTGTTTTTAGTAGATTTTAGAGTGTGACACACCTGGGAGATAAGTTCAACCAAGTGCCTATAAAAACTCTTAACAAAATATGGCAACCACTCCTTCTATAAAGGAGAGTGAGAGAGCCTAAATATAAAATGTAATGGGTTTTCCAGTTTTATAGTGATTTGGAAATGATATTTGAGTTGTTATTCAAGGTAATTTATCCATTTGTTTCTTAGATTTTTCATGAAGCTTTTATTAAGTGCTTACTGTGTACCGGTGACTGTGCTGAGTATTTGAACTGTCTCATCCCTCAAAGTGCTCAAGATTTCCTTTTGGAATTAAGAAAATTCTTAAGACTCTTTTAACTTTGTGCTTTTTCTGTAGGATATGTTTCTTGTTGAAAACCATATGATGTATATCAATTATTTCTGTAAATGTTTTCTATTATTTGTAGTCTCAGACAAAGGGAGGCATTTGTTCCATGCACTTGGTAGTAACAGTGGGAATTACTATACAACAAAAATGTTCTCATTTTACTTTTCTGTGAATATTGTCATGTAAAATATCAGCATGGGGGAATGTAGTGGTAATTATAGTTGATTCTTCTTGAGTGCCTATTGTGTGCCTAGTATTGTTCTGAGCATTTTACATTTCTTAACCTATTCAGTCCTCATAATAACACTATGAGGTAAGTTACTCATTTTACAGAAGAAGAAGAATCAAGGCCTGGAAGATTCTCTGTGAAAAAAGGACGTGGAATCAAAAGATTATATGAGAAATACTTCATTTAACATTCCCCTAATACTTTCATCTAAGAGATTCACTTAACTTATTAAATGGTTAATAAGTAATCCTGCAGGAAAGAAACCCATTTAACTCATTTAACTTTGTATAACCTAGTGTTCCCTATGCATATTTGACCAAAGAACCCTTGTTCCAAATAGCACTTATCAAACCCCACAAAATTGGAGTTCTACAGAACATAAGTTTGGAAAATGATAATTTGTTAACTCAAACTTTTCTAATTCTTGCCTGTTACTGGTGGAAGCAGAACAAATATCTACTAAGTATCTTTTTTATGGGCTAGGTACAGAAAATTCACTTTATTCACTATAGCAAAAGTTGAAAGATAGAGGACACCAGTTTGGGCAATTCCGGTTCAGATACAAGGGTGAAAATATCTGCAGTTGCATAGCATCTTCCTTGTCCATGCTGGAAAGAAGCATCATGAAGCTACCCGCAGGTAAGAGGAAGGCGAGGGACTGCAGTGGTTCCTGCAGGCAACCAAGGCGGTTGAGGAGGCAAAAAAATTGATGTGGATAGAGGCCATGGAAGGCCTACCTGAGAAGGAAGCTTGCAGAATATTAGCTGTTTAGTTGCAGCAATGGACAGAAGGCTGGAAAGAGTGGTGATATTGCAGAGAGAAGTGGTAAACAACAGCTAATTATGTATACAGACCTTGTCAGGACCCTGCCTCCTTTGTTCGTGCCCTTTCTGAGTTTGTACAGATTTTTTCCCTCATCCGGATTGTTTTTCTCCTCACTCAGACTTTTTTATGTTTTTTGAATTCCTCTTGGCACCTAGAATAACGCATATATTTCATAGTAGGCATTCAGTAAATGATGGAAGAGTTTGAAGGAGAATTTAGAACAAACATGTCCTCCTCCTTCATGTGGCAGGTAGAAGGAAAGTCAAAAATAATTAGTATCAACAGAGAATAATAGTAGCTTAATACAAAGAGATAGGGAAATATTAGGAAAATAGAAACTGTCCTTGTAGCTATACCAATTAATTGACATTTTGAAAGAAAGTGCTGTTAGGGGAAGTCAGTTGGTTGCCTTCCTAAAGGTGTCTCAAAGAGTATTACCTTAGTGGATTTTACTTTTAGCCTTACATTAAACATTTTCTGGAACAATCCCCTCCTGTTCCAACTCCATGCTCAGCAAGTTCATATCAATCTGTGCTTTCCACATGTATCTGCCTGGCATAAGCTAGTCTCAGAGCCACTAATAATCCAAACTGTATATACAATTTACCAATTCAGATTTTTACAGTTTTTAAAAGCCCAGGCCTGTTCTCTCTTACTGTTTTTAAAAAAAAAAAAAAATTTTTTTTTTTTTTTTAATAACAGTAAGAGAGAACAGGCCTGGGCTTTTAAAAACTGTAAAAATCTGAATTGGTAAATTGTATATACAGTTTGGATTATTAGTGGCTCTGAGACTAGCTTATGCCAGGCAGATACATGTGGAAAGCACAGATTGATATGAACTTGCTGAGCATGGAGTTGGAACAGGAGGGGATTGTTCCAGAAAATGTTTAATGTTCTCAGGCTAAAATACCTGATGCTATTATCTCCACAATGGAGATAGCCTTGCAAAGCTGTTGGGCAGTTCAGCGTTTGTTGGCTGACTCCTTTTCGCTAAATAGTCCTTGGATTGTCTTGGTCAGTCCTTTTTTAGGCTTCTATTACTAGCCAAACTCCTTTTTAAAAAGTTTACATTGTTAAAACTTTATTTTATATGAAAACTCCATATTTGAATTTTGAGTCAGCATTAATTATCCCTATAGGTAATACATGGACAGGGAACAAAATCAAAAGGGACAACAAAATTAAAATGCAGTGAAAAAGAAATCTTCCCACCCTTGCCTCCTAGTCACCCAATTTCTCTTCATACAGGTAGTCACCATTAACCTTTTTCTTGTGCATCCTTCCAGAGATGTTCCATACATTTAAAAGCTTGTGTGTGTTATGTATATTACATTTTTAATGGTTGCATAGTACAACAGTTTACCTTCCAGAGATGTTCCATACATTTAAAAGCTTGTGTGTGTTATGTATATTACATTTTTAATACACAAATGGTTGCATAGTACAACAGTTTATTACATTTTTAATACACAAATGGTTGCATAGTACAACAGTTTAGCATCTTGCTTTTTTCACTTGAAAAACTTTGAAATAAAGTTTTTTCTATATAAGAACATACAGAACTATCCCATTTTTTAGTGACTGCTTAGTGTTCTGTTTCAGGGATTATACCCTAATCTTATTTAACCAGTTTCCATTGATAGACATTATGTAGTTTCCGATCTTTGGCTTTATAAGTGGTGGGGCAGTGAATATCAGATATCCATTGCACATTATTTTCTTTCTTTTTTTGGCGGTGGGGGTAGGGGGCAGTCAACCAGTACAGGGATTGAACCCTTGACCCCTTGGTGTTATCAGCACCAGGTTCTAACCATCTGAGTTAACCAACCAGCCCCTCACATTATTTTCCACTTGCTCAACTATGTCTATAGGGTACATTCCTAGAATGTTGGGTCAAGGTACATTTAATCAGATCCCCATACAGGCCAGCTGCCCCTCCCCAGCCCCCCCGCCCCAAGAAGTGCATTTAAAATTTGGATTGTCCTTGCCAAATTTCTTTCTATTAAAGTTGCCCCCAAATATAAGTCCTACCACAAATAGCAGGGGTTGTTTCACATCCTTGTTACCACAGTTGATTTTCATTAAAGTTGCCCCCAAATATAAGTCCTACCACAAATAGCAGGGGTTGTTTCACATCCTTGTGATTTTTCTCCTCTCTGTGGTGTGTGTGTGTTTGTTTTCTCTAATTTTTGCAAGTCTCATGGGTGTGCGTGGTAGGGGAAGAAAGCCATCTCATATTTTCAGTTTGCATTTATCTCATGAGTGAGGTCGAGTCTCCTCTTCTCTAGATATGCTCATACCTTCATTCTGGCAGAGGTTTAGACTTCTGGCCTAGGCTGACAGACTTTGACTCTAAGGGCAATCTTAAGACTGAAGGGATCACTACTGACAT